AGGCATTCGTTCGACCAATTTAGATAACATTACAAACATTTTTAACAGGGGCCATAATAGTGTAAATAATGTTTGTTTTGGCAGTTATAACTGAATGTAATGTTTTCTACTTTTTTTACATCTGGGAAGGCATTTGCCTTCATCAGATGGAAAGTGTCTTGACCAACAACTTAAGTATTTCTTAAAGCTATGCAGGGCATGCAAGCGAGCAAACACAAACAAGAACAAACAAACAAGTGAAATTAAAAATAAAATTGAAATTGTACAATATAATATTGTGGTGGTTCATCTTATAATTAAGTCTAGAGAATGCACCAGACAGCATCTAAGACCTGCAAAAATCTACATTTTCTAGGGGGAGGCCCCCCAAACCCTTCGTGCGTCATTTTGTCCGCGCGCATTTTTCAGGGCAATCTCTATTGGGCTCAGGGCCATCTGTAAATTAGCTTAGATGGCCCACAGGGCCATCTCCCAAAATCCTTAATGTCATGCACTGAGTTTGACACCAACTTCCTCTCGTAGTTCCGTTGCAGATATTTACCATGAATTGCATGCAGTCTAAAGGCAAATCAAGTGGAGGACTGGAACAAAATGTATTGCACTGACTCGAGACCACTAGACTTACATAGGAGACAGAATCATTACTTCCTCGGTGTAACGGTACACCTAATCCATGACAAAAGGCGACTCTACTCATTAGCTTTATGCGCGGTGAATAGTGAGGAAAGGAATTTTCCTGAAACATAGGCTAGCCAATTTCTTTCAGGGTCACCACTGTTGGAACAGACAGTGCTCGCAATATGAATACCACCATACAAACATATGCCCTGTGTAGCCAAATTAAACAGAGGGTTATTACAGCGACTCTCTGTAACAGTGGCTTTGTTGATGGTTTGTGTGGAAAATGGTCGGACTTCATGCCAATAATTCAGAAATCATGACATAATTAAGTATAAAACCCTTTATTACAACATCAGATGTGTACTTGTTTTAACTCAGCCTGAAATACACATATTTTAAACTTATGATTAATCACAGATTATAATTGTGATTAATGCGATTACATGTTTTAACTGATTGACACCACTTGAATAAACACTATAGTTGGTCTGACAGTTAAAGATTTGTGCATGCCGTTAATACCAGTGTAGCTATTCCTTCAATATTTCAGGTTGCTTAAGCCCATTATTGGAAATCAATTAGCTAGGCTGCTTTAAGATAATATTGGATTTGCAGGATTGTCGCATATTGCCTAACTGTGGTTATTAGGTTTAGGAATCGTTTGGGTTTAAATGATTACGGCATTGATTGCATTTCTGCTTATTGATTTCTTCATTGCAATTATTTAACCACGTGAATGAGGTCAAAGGCTTATCTCACATAAATCTTTAAGAAAACCTTTACACAAATGTGTATTTTTATTCACGATTCACTTCATGAGGTCAAGGGACTTGTAAATGAATTGCAGACAGTGTTGGTCACTGATGTTTATATGATAACATGATCATCTTGTCATTATTCTTTCGTTCACAAGTTAATTCTGATTGGTGCCATTTGAAATGGTTCAATTTCCCCCGGGTAACACTGAAACTAATGAGTTGATAAAAAACATTTATTGCATATTGGAAAAAAACATACTGCAGGGTCAAAATGATGTCTGGTTTTATAAGAATAGCAGGTACATGGCACTGTTTTTATATGGAACCAAGTTTTGGTTCCCAACCCACGTCATTATATCGACTCATTTTGTTACATATCCTTTGTATCACATAATTTCATATAATTTTGACGCCGTTTTTTTGTTCTTTCATCATATTTCAAACTATAAAACAAAAAATCAGACGTCACTTAGTGTTTGGGAATCATCCTAATCGTTTGTCTCAGCTTGCATGGAGCACCAGATGGTTTGCATGCATAACTCTCATTTATCACATAAGGGAATTCAGATAGTGTCAGGTAAGCTGTCAGTCAAGTGGCTTCAATGACTGTGACTGTGAAAATACTCGATCATCTCATTAGTTCAGGAACTTCATAGCAGATACAGAGAATTATTATAAAGTTTTCTGCATGAGCCATGTCTGTGAGAACCCTGCGAATACTGAACTCATTTGGAAATAAGAGGAGGAATAACTCATAAATATTTGAATCACATCCACTTGACTCCACTCCAGTGTAGAGTCATCTATGATACGAGCACAGGCGTGAAGATTTGTATGGCGTTTTTTAAATCGACTCCAATTCAATATAAAGTCAGTATATTTTAAATTCATTACACAGGGAACAAAAGATGACACATTCATCTGTCTGATCTATATGAAGAACCATTACACTCATTTGCATAAACATAAATAATTTGCATGAGTAGGACTTGCTTCTGGGGTTATAGCACAGCAGTGTGATAGTATTGGATTTTTTTCGTGTGCGTTTGGCAGAGAATGGGACTCGCTGAAGGCATCCGAATGAAAGACTGTCATGCCAACGCTCCCACTGCAACTATCTCTGGCAAAGTGGAACGTGGCAACCGATTTACTTTGATTTGAGGCATGTGGACAATAAATTCCCCAGACAACAGAGTGAGATTGATTCACTTGGTCCTTGTTGGTCTGGTTGAGTCATATTTAATTACTGGAGATCCATTGATCGCCAGTATCTTCGCGCTATCAGCGTAGAACCATCCCAATACGTGCCACGGGGAGAAGAAGTGAGCTAGGTCTTGAATATTCATATGTGTGCAAGTCAGACACTCTGTCAGAAGGGTTTATCTTTGGTGGGGACAAAGTGGCGCTTGATCGGATGCACAAAGGACAGTCTTGTGTTTGTGAATCAGCCATTTGAACCTCACACCGGCCCATAGGGGCTCCGCCCCCCCTCTTCCCACATGTTTGATTCTCATTCAAAATAAAATAAAAAATATATTTAAAAAAAATATATTGTTTTTTTTTTTTTTTTTAATCAACAAGGTAAATATTATATAGTTGGTATCAGTAAAATGTATAATCTAAAATAAAATCTCGTTTAAAATTGTGTTACGATGTCTAAAGTTACTGATAAGTAACTTTAGACATCACCTTACACACCTTCCGGCGCAAACTGAAAACTGATCTCTTTCGACTCCACTTCGAGCGATAGAACTATTAACAAAGCACTTATATACTAATAAAGGACTGGCTTATCTAAGCCAGTTGAGTAGCACTTGAAATGTTTTTGCTCTATGAAGCCTGATGTACTTATATGATTCTGTTTTTTTTTCTGAGCAGTTTGTATTTTGTTGGTCGAACGCACTTATTGTAAGTCGCTTTGGATAAAAGCGTCAGCTAAATGCAATGTAATGTAATGTAATAAGTCACATGTTTCCTGCCTGGCCGCAGCGTGTATCATTACCCTCTCTCGTCTGGGCGCTAAGAAAGAAGCCCTTAGCCAGTGCAGCAGCCAACAAATTGCTGACTGTTGCTATCTGTAAACTATGCCGCCGAACCATAATTTCAGCCAATCAGCGTTGTCAGATCTGATGGTCATAGGGCGCCAATTTCAGTGCCCGATGCAGTATGTGAGTTGTTTGGACTCGTATCCAAGGTGACGCTACAGTAGTTGATTAGGATGGCTGCGTGTGCAGGTGGAGACTCCGGACCTCTGTCCCCGCCCATTCTGATTCAGCCAGCTCTACCCTTTCGTTGACATGTTATGCACAAAACAACCTCTAGATGTCACTGTGGTTTGAACAGAAATCCCTTCAGCTAGCTTCCACTGAGAAAGTTGGCATGCAAAAAATACAGGATACACAGGATATAGACATTTGCTATTAGGCCAGTGGTTTCTTGTTAGGCCAATTCAGCATATACAGTAAGATGAGCAAGTCTTTTTTTTATTATGAAAAACACTTTACTTTTTTCCATTTATTTATTTTTACAATTATAATTTATTATCTTTTATGAATATATCTGGTTATATATATATTGCTCATTTTCCATAAAAGAAAACACATGTATTTGAGTTTGTGTTTTATTTGAGTTTTATTTGAGTTTTACAAATACTGTACTGTATGATGATTCTTGAAAATGTACTTTTGCCATAAAAGGCCAGCTCGACCAGTTGGTAGAGGCTCATAAAAACAAAACTGTCAGTCAAAAAAATAAAAATTGTTTGTGGTTATTTGTGGCCCATTTGATAAAAAAAATGCAAACAAATAATTGTTCCATAACGTTTTTCTTGGTCTGGCAGTTAAAGCCAGACCACACACACACACACACACACACACACACACACACACACACACACACCACACACACACACACACACACACACACACACACACACACACACACACACACACACACACACACACACACACACACACACACACACACAGTAGAAACTATGTCCAGGACAAGGTATTTGGAAGTTTCATAGCTAACCACACTGAAGATTATGGAGGTATTGATCAGTCTTCTCATATTTTTAAGCCTCAATTTGTCCTTCCCCCCCCCCCCCCTCTAACATCACCAGAAGTCATAATTTAAGGGGTAATTTCTCAAAAAGTTATTCCGGGGGAGCATCCCCCCGGACACCACTAGTATGCTTTGGTCACCATTGCCATAGCCCCACCTAAAATATTTTCCACCGGCCGCCACTGCTCACACATTTGGGCAATGCCAGTGCATTTGGTTGTCTTTGTCTTGTGGTGATTGCCTTTGGTCTGACTGCAAATGTCAAATAATCCATTGAAGTCTCACATGAAGGTCATTCCTTTCTTCTCTTCATAAGTCAATTCCAAGTGTGTATCATTATCATTCCCCTCATAAGAGTCTACATCACTCATATAAAGCAGCCAAGGAGCTCTCCTGGCTCCAGTCTGAGTCCGGAGCTTATTTTTCACACGCTTTAATAATTCACGAGTAATCGTTTCCCAGATGTTAAGAAACGGAAATGAATCATGTCTGCTCACCGTCCTGACCTCTCATCCTCCCCTGACCCGAATGTTAACTATTCCTGTCTTCCCCCAGGAGGACTACGACCGGCTGAGACCGCTGTCCTACCCGATGACCGATGTCTTCCTCATCTGCTTCTCAGTGGTAAACCCGGCCAGTTTTCAGAATGTGCGCGAGGAATGGGTGCCTGAGCTGCAGGAGTATGCACCCAGTGTCCCCTACCTGCTCATTGGCACCCAGGTCAGTCCACCAATGGTGTCAGAAGCATTTACACTCAGCTTTAAATGACTGCTGCTTATATGTGATTTCTTATTTATACATATGATAATCTATAAGCAATAACACTGCAATATACTCTAGGGCAGCGGTTCCCAAACGTTTCAGTCCGCGACCCCCAACAGTACCAGTTACTGGCGACCCCTGTCAACGTTAAATGTATTGAATAAATCAATACATTTAAGTTTTCGGCACACTCGCGGGAATATCTCCGTCATGGAGCGAGCTTAAATTTGTTTGTACCATTTTCAGCCGATTTGTAATCTGTTCTAGAACTACGATGTGTTTTTAGGATTGCAAGAAGCATATAGAACAAACAATGGATGTATTTTAAGAACATTTATCCATGCTTAAATTAGATTTAGATGTTTTAGGAGTTATATAGAGATTATATATATATATATATAATATATATATGCATCCAATGAAGCTTCATCGTATGAAGTCTGTTGATGATCAGAGGCTGTTGTTGGGGCTGCATAAACGTTTTTTTATTTTTGTTTTGTAGGCAGACCATGCAGGCCAGCCCGATGGTCACCAAGGTTCATGTTTAAATAGCATTTTTACAAAAAAAGCCCAGGCGAGCCTAACATGTGAAAAAATGGCTTAGACCTCAGAGTTAAACTTGGGCCTGCGACCACAGTTTTACTGTATTTTGTTTTGAAAATCCACAGCGAAGGTTTGTGTCGTACTACATGCGGTGTATTTTGCATAATCTCTCAGTAGCCAACGATCTGTGAATCTGTTGGCTCAGACATAAACTCTGTAATAAATGTAGTCTACATTTCATAAGAGGTGTAAAACCTGAGAGCATTTTAAATCGCATTTGAACTAAATGCTTATATAATCTGTAGTTGTATTTGTATTGTTGATTTATTGTGTAAAGTGGTCCTTGGTATGAAAAAGTTTGAGAAACACTGCGCTAGTGGATTGTCAACGGGGGGAGCCTCGCTGCGGGGAAATTATACAGATGGCTAGTCCGCCCCTGAAAAATGTCTATGCACCCGTTATTATTAATACTTTTTTTTTAAAAATTGATTAAAAAAAATGGATACAATTTATTTTACATTTAAAAAAAAAAAAAAATGTTAAATTTAAATGTTGTAATCATCTCACGACCCCCACTTTGGGAACCCCTGCTCTAGGGTACAATAACAATGTCTGTTCTACATGTACACTATATCAACTTGATATGATACAAATTGTCTCAATTGAGGCCAGATCCAGATTGTAACTTGAGGAACACGCTTTGAGCCACAATGTGAATTCAACCTCAAGAGACCACCAAGGCTAACAGAGAACTTACAATTCAGAGACAAATATACATTGAATCTGCTTTCCTTTGGCACAGGAGATAATCATGGAGTATCACAAACCTCACAAAGATATTCCTTACATATAGCCTGCAAAATGTTAGTTTTCAGAACATTTTCTGATAAATCCAGACCTTTTATTCATTTGTTGTTTTTTAAAGCTTTGCTGGTTATACTTTTAAAATGTGATGACTTGATACTTTAATTACTCGTCATATATCACCATAACTGGAATATATTTTGTTTGTGAACTGTTGGTCAGACAAAACAAGATTTTTTTTACGGCAAAACGGTCAGTGTATGTTTTGGTCATTGGATTTTCTTTTCACAAATGGATATTCAAAAACATACACTGACCCAAAACGAATGAGAACTGTTTTAATTAAATAGTAATTATTATATTTGTGCATGCAATGGACTGCAAAGGCTATAATCCTAGAGTTCCCTCCAGAGGGAGTTTCTCTCCCATACACCCCCCCCTGCCTGAAATTCCTCCATTAGACTCCTTTGTTTACTCCCCTAACATAGTGACATCACTGACACTCGTGGTTATATTGGCTATCGCTCCAACACATTGTACTTGAGAGCAGTGTGCAAACTATACCACGGTCTCCGGGGGAGCCGGGATTTTTTTTTTTTTGCGGGGGTGGGGGGAGTAAATGCTGATCCGTGCATTAATAGCAACAGCACAGACATAGACCTATTATTATTATTATTATTATAAAGAGAGATTATAATGTTCATGTCAACAGATTTCCCGCGCAAACTTCAATCAACTTGATAATAAATAATCCACGGACCACCAATGTAACGTTTGACTGTTTAATTAAATCAACTTAAAATGACTCAAAAACAGGCTACATTGTTTCACATGGGCTATAGCCTATTATGGCTGTAGCCCACACAGAGCCACGCGATAAGAGCAGCCAGCGGCACCAACCATGAACAATATTAATATTAATAATACAGCTATAGCACAACACAACCCTCTCACTGCCTGGAGAGACGCAACGCCACACACACAACACAACGATGCACATAGCCCTTCTCTCATAAGTAGGCCTATCACAGCAATCCATAGGCCTACAACACAGCAAAATTAAAGTAAAAGCGGGCCTTACCTAACACAAAAGCGACCACAGCGGCCTGGGCTCAGCTGCCATGATGTGGACAGACGATGACCCGATTTAAGCCAAGATGTGATGAAAAGCGTTGGATCGAATCTCTCCAGTGGAGGTCCATTAAGGTCCACAAAAAGTAGTGATGAGATGCTGGCTTCACGCAGTCTATTGCGACTCTTACTGTCAGTGTCATTCACAGCTGAAAAGCCCCTCTCGCACTCCGATGAAGTGGGCAGGTATGTTCTGCTTGCTATGGACAGTTTCTCCAGCGTGGTGCAGGTGCAGCATCTTGTAACTTCCAGTCGCGAAGCTCCTGCACTGCTTCACTGGCAGATTCACCGAGTGCTTTCGCAAGGGCCCGTATTTATTTTTCCCCATAAAGTATAAGTGCGTTGCGGTCCTGTGGCCAAAAGCGCTTGTTGAGGGGTTTGAGCATATTAACGAGATCTGACTCTGGCATTCGCTTCTTAAGATTGTCGATCACAGACTGATAGAACTGACCCCTTTTAATCTTACCGCTGCTCTCTACTAGCTCCAAACCTTTGAACAGTCCTTGTGTTATGCGTTCCTCGGCCTTCTGTGCTGATTTACCTCCACACTCTTTCATAGCAGAAAGAACATCGATGCACTGCTGAATCTGACAATTAGCGCTCACTATATCTATGTCCCTTTGCTGCAACCTTAGTGACAGGGCTTGCAGCTCACGAAGCGTGTCTCTCATGCAAGCCAGATCGGCTACAAATCCAGCGTTTGAGAGTTGTTTATGGAGCCCAAGGAATTTCTTCCTTTCAGTGTCATTACGAGATGGATCCTCACTTGCGACTTTAAAGTGGCTTGCTAAAGCAGGGTAGTTGTTCCAGACGGCTTTAACAGTTCTAAAACTGCTTGATGGTAAAAATCTGCCCGATTTTTTAAAGCTGCATATTCAACTCCGCTGCTGCCTCCTCCAGGAGTCTCACATTCTTTGCGGACTTATTGTACAAAGTGTACAACTTTGAAACGAAAATCTCGAAGTGGTTACATCCAGAAACAAGTTTTAGAGAGTCATGGACTGCCAATTCTAGCCGGTGGCAAAGACAATGTATAGACTGGATTTTGGGGAAGTCCTGTTTTAGCTGAGCAATGACCCCACTGTTTTTGCCAGTGAGGACAGACGCGCCGTCAGTGGCTATGCTGATGAGATTGATAAACAAAAACTCGTCATCAAAACCTGCGTCACGTAGAGCCTCTCTCAGGCTGTTGTAGATGGACTCGGCATCTGTGCCCTGGGCTAACTCCTTGAGGTCTAAAAATACATTATCCACATCTCCCTTTCCTGTCACGTCACATCTCACATATAAAATCAAATATGCACGTCCGTGCACAGTGCTCTCATCGATAGTGATGCTTATTTTTGACTGGGCCTTTTTAACATTAGAAACAAACTTTTTCTGCATTTCGAGTGCAATGTGGCCAATAATCTCAGCACAGGATTTGTCTGATCTGTGTACAGCGCCTACCTTTGCCCCATTGATCTCTTGGAGCTGCATGACAGGTGGGAGTTTTTTAAATGCCATCCTTTCCTTTGCTATCATATAGGCGGATCTGAAAGCATTGGACGTTTCCTCTAACAACTTTGCGTTGATTGCGAGAATCTGGTTCGGCAGTATTGCTTGTTTTCTTGTTTCTGCCAGTTCAACTGCCCTGTTGTGCGCCACACTATCCCGATGCTTGTAGATTTTCTTACGCAAGTTGTTCTTTGTTTTACTGGTTACGTCCCCGTTCATCCATTCTTCTGATAAGTGCGCTCCACCTTTATCAGTAGCCCTACTGAGGAGAAGGCTTTTAGCATCCCTGCAAAGAGTACAGCCTATGCATCCATCCTTGGAGAACAGCCATGGGAGGCGTGTGATCCACTCATTCCACTGTTGGCTGGTCCAGCCAGCCGGTGGCCGCGGGACCACCGCAGCAACTTCGCCCCCCCCATCTCGAGCAGCAGGCAGGGAGGAAGAGGAAGAACAGGTGGGGTGGTCATCAGCAGCATCATCATCTTCTTCCACATCTCCTTCGACCTCTACTATGGTAGTTGTAGTCATCAAGTTAGCTTCTCTTGGCTCGTCTTCTTGTGTCTCTTCAGCCCCCAAGTTAACGTTAGCTGTCAAGTTAGCACTAGCACTGACGTTAGCTCCCTCCTCTCTCGGTTCTGTTGTAGCAGCAGTCACAACGTACGATGTGCTACCACCAGCTACATTCGGTTGGTCTTCTTGATCAGGTTGTTTGGCCGTCTTTTTGAAGAAATTGCCCAATGTAAGTTTTTTTTTTTCTTTTCGACATGTCAGCAGCAGCAACAATGCCTGGTAAACATGCAGTGCTAACTAAACGAGCTTGTGAGTGAGTGGGTAGTGGGTGGAGCTGCGGGCAGCGTGCAAGCAGGCGACACTTTTTTCATGAATCATAAATTCTAAATATTATTTTATTTCACTTATTTTACACCTTTGAAAAAAAAAACATGCCCAAAATGGAATTGATTTGGTCATCATATCAGTATTTTAGAGAGCTCCCCCCAAATTTCACAAAGCATGTTCCCAGGGGTTCCCAGCTCATGTCACCACTAGGGGAGCTATAGCTCCCCCTGCTCCCCTCCAGTTCACACCCTGCTTGAGAGGCTAAGAGGCAGGACATCTCTAAGCAGTTGACCAATCACAACAGAGGTGGCCAGCTAACCAATCAGAGCAAACAGGGCTCTGGTTTCAGACAGAGGGTGAAAAGAGGTGCTGCAGCACAGACAGTATGAGAACAATAAAGAGCTTTTTGAACATTAAAGCATGGTGACATGTCACAGTAGAGACACTAAATACAAATATGAAATGTGAAAATAAGCATAATACGGCCCAAGTTAAAGTGATAAAAAAAAATCCCAGTGCAGCCTGTTGCTTTGAAACTGACCTTTGGCAAAGAAGAATAAATGTATTAAATCAAAAAAAAATTGGCGAGTACAAACATGTCTGGGGACCTCAGGCTGATCTGTGTTTAAAAGGTCTGTGGCTTGGTACATTAGTCCTCAGTGCCTTAAAGGTAATCATTAAAACAGCAATTCACTTATGCAAAGATACTTAATCTGGGCTCATGTCTTTTGATCTTCCATAGAAGCAACACTAAACTCATGAAGATGTTAAGAGATGACACTTATCCTACGTATTAAAACCCACTGTCGGTGCCGTATGACCAAAAAACGATTATAGCGCTTACTGGAGGCTGAATTCGTGTTCCCTGGCAACCAAATGCCAATGCAGCCAGGGCCCCGCGTTGGTGAGGAGGATGGAGTGGGTGTCTGATTTATCTCCTGTCAGCTGATGTTTACTGCCCTTTGTATCAGTACCCATCAAAACTCGCTGCTCTGGAGCCCGATGCTGATATGCACACAAGCTTCATAACAGCGAGCCACAAATCACACCAATAAAGAAAAGGTTTAATGAAGGTCGCTCCCAGTGCGTTTGTGCAGGTGGATGCATTTATTATAAATGGCCATTACTGACATGGGGATGAGTTGTGTGTGCTGAGCGTTGCATTGAATACAAGAAGAGTGACAAACCGTTTGGTTGGCTGTAAAATGGCTTTTGTACAAGAGCAGGAAGTGTGGGTTTCAAAATGAGAAAGAAAGCTGTCAGTTACGCAGGTCGGCTATGTTTAGCAGCGTGGAGAAAAGTGCAGAAATACCTGATTTTGTGTTGTCAAATCAGAAATTAAGTCTTTAAGAAACTATTAAAAAAGTTATGAATTCATATCCATGACTTAACTCAGAGGAAATGTCCCTTATCTCTTTCAGATTGACCTTCGTGATGACCCCAAGACCATTGCCAAACTGAATGACATGAAGGAGAAGCCCATACCCACTGAGCAAGGACAGAAACTAGCAAAGGAGGTTTGTTTGTTTGTCCTACTAAAGAGAAGTAATGAGTAGCTAACGAAAGAGCTAGATGCTAACTGTCAGTGTGGTAGGATTTAGCTTTCATGTCCAGTTAGATTCCTGTGTGTTGCTTTGACCCTGCAAGTCTCTGTAAGAATGTCTGGAATCAGACCTCTGTGCATTCTTTGCCTCAAATAAATTCAGAAATACATTCTAGGTCCTCATGGATGTCAAAAGTAGTTACAGGCTGTCCGACGTAGATACCAAATGTGGCCTGTGATTAATCAATCCTGTCAGGCAGAAATTGAGAATAAAAGTCAAATGTTCAAAAATTACACCCATCTCAAAGTATTAAAGGTCCCATGTCATGCTTTTCCGGTTATTACCCGTCCCCTTGTGTGTCATGAAGGTTTTTCTGCATGTAAACGGTCTGCAGAGTCACAAACCCTCAAAGCACACCCTGTAGCGAGTAAAACTCTAACACAGAAAATACCTGTCTATGCTGCCCCAGAACGCCTCGTTGGAGATTTATCTTTTTCCATTGTTTTCTTCTTGGGTACAGTGACCCATTGGTCCATTTGGACCAATGGGTCACTGTACCCAAGAAGAAAACAGCCGTTATGTTACGTCCGTGGATTGGTCAATGGGCCAATCCGCGGACTTCCTCACACACACACACTCAATCTTTTCTCAGCTGCAGCTCCGCCGATTTCTCCTCCTTGAGACGGCGGGGCTGTTAGTCGGTGTGTGTTCGGGCTGGGTAAAGCTGTCTCGCAGACGGCCACTGGGCTCATAGGGAGGGGGGGGCAGGAGCTCCAACAAGCCGTTGAGGACAGAGAGTGAATACTATACAGAGATGCTGTATGAGAAACCAATGCGATTTTGGAAAATTGCACGATATAAATCTATTTTTAGTATACCTCAACAATGGAATTATGATCAGTAGAAATGGCCATGACATGGGATCTTTAAAATATGGATTTTTGGGAATGTAAGATAGGATTTAGGCGTGTTTTATGTCTTTTTGGAGTCATGAAGTTTTCTGAGGCCACAAAAGTTCCATGCAAAATCGTTTTCAGATTAAAAGAAATATTAGGTTGAATTTTTGTCAATGTGAACTGTTTTTTACCTTGGACATTATTTCTTACTGTTGAAGACCTGATTTCCATATAAATCCTTCTAAAGATTCGAAAACCCCCCACAAAACTCAAAATGAATGAAACAGAAATGAAATTATGTTTTCCCTAGTTTTTAGCCTCTTTTGTATATATCGGAGTTATTGGGCAAAGCATTTTTTTTATTAGACTCACCGCACTGCCGTTGTGAAAGTCTCAAACACTAACAAATGATTCTCGGAGTGCCAAGGCCAATGGTGCATTCAGGTGCTCCACAGATGGAGGTTGCTTTCTGGCTTTGGTGTGTTCAATAGCCTAAAGTCTTAATTTGGAAACAACATTGATGCTACAAGATGTGTTGTATTTTTTTTACAAGTGTACAAATTAGGGGCTATTTTGTGCTCAGGAAGTAGTGGTTTACGAGATTCTCGTATTAACTATTGGCAAGAAAGACAATCTATTCCTTTACCTATCATAACTGCTAGTTTACCATTGTATTGTACCTGCATTTTTGACGGATGTTAATATGTGTGTCCTCCTCAGATTGGTGCATGTTGCTATGTGGAATGTTCCGCTTTGACACAGAAGGGCCTGAAGACGGTGTTCGACGAGGCCATCATCGCAATCCTGACTCCCAAGAAAAAGAAAGGAGCGCTGAAGAGAAGACTGGGACCCCACTGCATCAACTGCTGCCTGATTACGTGATACATTAACCTCCTGGAGATCAGTCAGCAACAAACCATAAACCAAACCTGGACTGCAGGCAAAAGACAGACAAAAGAAAATTGCACGGACAGCAGAGTGAGAAACAAGAGGACTGAAAAGGACAAAACAAGAGCTACTTTTATGCTGCAGGGCTCTTGAAAGGCCATAACTCTCTCCTGCTGTCCCACACAGGTTGAGGATGCAGTTTACTACCAAAGGAGCACAAAACCCAAGTCTGTCCCTTCTTCTAAGACTTTTAGCTTCTGACGTACCTTCTTTTATAACCATTTGTAATCATTTGTTCCTTGTCTTAAGCTGTCATGCAAAGAGTTCATATTATTTCTATGGTTTGAAAGCTACATTTGTGCATTTCTCTTAAAAAAAGAGCAAATCAAAGAAAGCCTGCAACCTGTAAATAATGAGAGTCTGACCTAAGTGACACTGTGACAGTGGCGAAGACTCTGTAAGTCTGTCTCCTATGATATGCCAATTGGGCCCTGCAAACAATATTACACAAAATGCAACGAGTGCAATTCTGCCCAGAAACCACATTTTGGACCTAGAACTGTATTATTTTAAAGTTTAAGCGTCTTGCTTTTGCCTTATGAAACGTTACATTACTTTAGAGTGTGGCATGCCAAAACATATTGCAAGTTCCAGGCTGAGTTTTTCATCAGGAACTCAAGAGGTCTATTATCCATTTTCTAAATATATATTGTCTAGAGTTTATGATTCTATGTCTCTAAGATAGAGATGATCTTGTCAGCTAATAATAACTTTCTTTTTGTTAGATTTTTGCTATCCTTCAATAATGTGTTATTATGTTATCAACTTCAAGAAGGTTCAGAAGAGATCTCATTTAAGAAGATATAGAATGATTCACATCCGACTTCCAAAGAATCTAATGCACACTTTTCACAAAATCATGCGGCTAGGGTACCCAATACTGTATATCTAAGGCACAACATGAATCGCAGTCAGTGCCATTTCATTTCCGGCACAACAAAGCACATTCCTCTGCTTTAAACACAGTTCTCTCCCAGAGAAGGCTGATTGAAGCACAGAAGATGCACACTGTTCCAGCTGGCACAACTATGAGCATAGCACACTTACCACGCACAATCATAGTCCATCCAGTATCCAAAATACTTCAGCTTTTCAGGGAAGACATGGACTCAAGAAGGGGTTGCATCAGCTGTTCAAAAGTTCAAACTTCACTCCAATTTAAAATGGGGTGCACAACACAAACTGTGTTACATAGCCTTAGCCAACTGAACAAACTGACGTTAGCTTAAAAACCATGACTCGTTTCGAATGAAGAATGGATAATGGAAAATGGTCGACACATCTGACCTGATGTTTAAAACATCTGTTTAATTTTGGTGTCAAGTGTCCATTAAAATGTATTTTAAACCAAAACAACAAAAATATCCCTGAAAAAACTACATAAAAACCCAATAATGCTGGGCTCAATCATTACATTACATTGCATTTAGCTGACGCTTTTTTCCAAAGCGACTTACGGCCCGTCTACACTACAGGCGTCGAAAAAGCTTGAAGCTGGGCGTGTCTGAGGCTTGGCGATTTTTTGCGAGCAACGCGACCAACAACCAATCACATGAATCTCCCGCCCCCGGCATACAAAGCAATAGCAATGTTAAAACGAAGTAAACTGGATATAAAATCCCAGGCGAAAACCTACCAGTTTCATCCACTGTCTCTGCCACCTCCCTCCATGCCTCGCTCCTCCGGTTTGTATCCCGGTAGATGAACAGAGACTAATCATACAGCACCGGGTGATTCACTACCGCTATAATGAATTTTCCCTCCATTTTTTTGAATATGAGGAAATGACCTGCGTAGTCTCTCCCAGCATACACGCGGTTTGATTGGCTAGCGCTTGTACTGGCAGATTTGCATAAACGGGATTTAATTGGCTGACGCCAGCTTCGAGCAAGCATCGAGCCTCAAAAGTTGAACATTGTTCAACTTTTGACGCCGATAGACGCTCGCGATGCTTGCAACGCCTTGCCATGCTACCCACAATGCAGTTCGGCGAAGTTTGAAAATATCCTACGTCACCCCATTCAAATGAATGGGCGAAGCGTTGAAAGCATTTTTTGACGCCTGTAGTGTAGACGGGCCGTAACAATAAGTGCATTCGACCAACAAGATACAAACTTGAAGAAAACAGAATCATATAAGTACATCAGGTTTCATAGAGACAAAACATTTCAAGTGCTACTCAACTGGCTTTAGATAAGCCAGTCCTTTATTAGTATATAAGTGCTTTGTTAGTAATTATTTGTTAGTAATTATATCGCTCGAAGTGGAGTCGAGCTCAATCCCTAGCTAACGTTAAATATTGTATGTTAGCATTAGCCTAACTACCCACCTGTCATCAGACGGTTTGAGTTGGTTTACAGAAATAGAAATAGGTCGGAAGGTTCTTCAACCAATAGCAGAATGATAATGGAACAGATTCTGCATTTGTATGCCAAGATTTAGTTATCGGAAGCATTAAAAAACATTAAAACATATAGGCTAAAATGCAATTGCAAAAACCCAACGGCTATCGTCTGACGATGATTTAACATTTATTTTTACATTTGGTTGTAAACTGGCTACTTGTGAAACAATGGAGTTGTATGTGTGTGTATCAACTACTCCAACTTGAGTCTAACAAATTGCTTATAAATCGACCGGCGGTCGCACCGGAACCACCCCAAAATACAAATATAGCCCTTATTGGAATAAAACTATTGCTCGGATAAATGTTCTCTCTTTATGCCCAAATGCTGTATCTCGAAATGAAAAGAAAAGTGAAAAATTAAGTGTATCTGCCCTGTGTTTCAGATCCGCTTCAAAATGTAACATGTTTGTCCTTGACCCATACTACACCCTTGCACCAGTTTGATGAAAATCAGCCCAGTAGTTTAGCTGTAATCACTAAATTGAAACTAGTCACTAAGAACTTATAAAGGACTTTCCATACAAACTTAATGATGGATTAATGAAAAGATGGTGCAACCCCATGCAGAAGTTCATCTTTCGATAGTTTAAATAAAAAATAATTGCTTAATTCAAAGTTATAAGGTCCTCACATGACAGCTTTTTATATGATCTATAGAAATGTGAGTCCGACAACCACACGTATACTAATCCCATCTTTTAGTCACACTGTAGAAACAGTTAGATTTATATATCTCTATGATCTCCAAAAACAAGTGTATGCAACAAAGGTTTAAAGCCTATATGTCTATAGTAGGCCTACTGTAGGTAACAACTTTAGTGTGTGACTCTTGCAAGCCAAACATCCAAAAATATCAGCTCTTCTCATTTTTAAGCATTTATCGGCTTTTTCTAACTTTTTCAAAAGAGATATTAATCAAAGGTGCCAACTCTTGCTGAATGACTTGTGTTGATATTGTGTTGAGATACGATGATTGATTAAAGCTTTAATGTAAACGGTGCTCCTCCTCTCTGTCCCAGCCTGCGTTGTATAACCGTGTCTCTGCGGGGTGAGCAGCCTTCCCACTCGGACAGTTTTGCTTGCTTACGTTGTGTGACGGTCCGCTCTCAGGATACAGGACCTAAAGTGCCGCAGCCACCAGTGCATTCTCCTGTTGATGCTCCTCTCTTCTCAATAAATGTGTTAACTGTGTTAATAAGCCGGCTTGGAGGGTTTAACTTGGACGGCGTCAGATGTGCTGTGCTATACATTTGTGAAATTAACTTCTGGTTCAATATGGGTCATACCTGGTTGAGTTGATAAGCAGGTCAAGTGAATTAAACACTTAGGCGATTTCAATACAAACACATTTTTTATATTCATCGGATGTTTTTAAAAGTTTACTGTTTCTTTTCGAAATCCTGAATTTCGTGACTTTTCATCATTGCTACTTTTACTCAGTGAAATATATTTTTTCCCCAGCAGTGTAACAAAAACAATATTGCAGAAGTAGAGATTAGATAAAAAGAAAAAGGTGCAATTCATAATCCCAAAAATGTAAAAAAAACAATTAACACATGCACTGTGTACGGGTCTTTTTGAATGATGGTGAATGTGTGTTAACGTTTTTGTGTGTGTGTGTGTGTGTGTGTGTGTGTGTGTGTGTGTGTGTGTGTGTGTGTGTGTGTGTGTGTGTGTGTGTGTGTGTGTGTGTGTGTGTGTGTGTGTGTGTGTGTGTGTGTGTGTGTGTGTGTGTGTGTGTGTGTGTGTGCGCGCGCGCGCGCGCGCAGGGCCGCCCCTCCCTACAGGCCAATCACGCAAGCTGCATGGGGCCCCGCCTTGCGCAGGGGGCCCCGCCCAGAGGGCCTCAGCTGCTGTGCACAGTTCTCCACGCAGTTCTCTCGTCTGTAACCCGACACCGTTGCAATGAATCGACATCTGACCAATCACGGCTTGATACGGCCACTAGTGCAGGTCTTCACCTGCACTAGTGGCCGTATCAACAATGTCGGTGAAAATACAGTTTTAGTCCGGCGCAAGCTAGAGGGAAAAAAACATGAAGAAACTAGAGCATCACTGGAAGGTGGGTTATTGTATGAGTCAAATGTACAACTTGTGTCAAATGTCAAACTTTTGCCAATTGCCATATTAAAACATCAGCTGCAATACACGACATGAAGAAGGCAGTCTCCACATAGCATATAGGCTAATGGAGATGCAGTTATTTCCAGCATTCTTTATTTACCATTCATTTAAGTATGTGATGCCTTTTATCTGCTAATGTACAGGAGGAAGAGTGATACACTGTCTGTCTAGTTGGCTTACATAACAGTTAAAGTTTACAGCCTAAAAAACATGGAGCATTTTTTCCCCTTTTATTCATTTTTATGTGAATTTGCACATTTCATGGTGATGCTCAGCCTCTCCCCTTAACTCCTAACAGTCATCATCATGTCAACCACAACACAGAGAAATACTGATAGAAATGTGTGTGTAGTTGTTGATACATTGCTGACAGAGGGAACTAGAATACAGATTTAAGAAATATCAGTTTTTGAGCGTGTCATAAGCATGTTTTGTCTTGACTATATTACAACTATATTATAATAAATTAATATGGTATTTATATTATTGAATTGATTATTATTATTAGTAGAAGTAGTTTATTTGCATTAATTGTATTTTAATCTTTTTGAGGCTAGTATTTGGCAGGAAATGCAGACGTATCACCTGTAAACGCATACTGAATGACATACATGCACATTTACCATTTACCTCACTGCATAACAAACTAACTGTGTTGATAATAATAATAAATAGGAATTATATTTGCAAAGTAGCCTACTTTGTTTCCAAAAAAAATGTGTTCACTCCTGTCGGTTGGGGGGGAGGGCCTCACAATTTCGCTTGGAGCTCCAAGTTGTCCAGGGGCGGCCCTGTGTGTGTGTGTGTGTGTGTGTGTGTGTGTGTGTGTGTGTGTGTGTGTGTGTGTGTGTGTGTGTGTGTGTGTGTGTGTGTGTGTGTGTGTGTGTGTGTGTGTGTGTGTGTGTGTGTGCGTGCGCGTGCGTGCGTGCGCGTGCGTGCGTGTAGAGGGTCGGTGTGTCTGTGTTTTGTGAAAAATGTGAAATGTATGCTGAAGGTGTTTGTGGTGTTGTTGCTCTGTGTTTTCTCTGTGTGTGTGCTTTGGGTCTTGTTGCCATGTGCCTTTGTGTGTGTATTTCGCTCCTACATTATACTCTCTATCCACATCAGCATTAGTAGCTGGTATATGACCGCCATCTTCTGGCTACATGCCGGTACAGAATAATCCTCACATTTAATTTTTTTCTCGGCTATAA